CGACCGAATTACATATAATTTATTAATTTATAAATTATATTTAATTTATAAATTATTTTTTTATTTTTATTTTTTATTTTAATAAAGAATAAAAAATAATAACATCACTTGAAACCCCATTTCAGTCAGTCACTTTTATCAGTAGATGTTGCGATTGGATTATGGGGCCATTATTTGACCATCGATGTTTATTTATGGTTGTTTATTTGATTATCCATGCTTTTATAATATTTGGGCTTTATGTCATATAGGTGTAATTAGAATGGGCTCATATTGAAAAAAAAAATGAATAGAAAAAAAGGCCCAATTTTGTAGTGTTGTTTGTTTTAATATTTAAAAAATAGGCCCAATTTTAATAGCCAAATATGAAACCGAAAAATCGAATTAACCAACCGAACCGAATTATCAAATTTCAGTTCGGTTCTTGTTCGGTTCAATTGGTTTGTTCGGTTCGGTTCGGTTTTCATTTTCAGTGTTATTCAATCGATCGGTTCTGCATATTTTGGGATCGAACCAAACCGAACTGGCCGATACTCACCCCTAGGTCCAGGTAAAGTTGGGAATTCGGGCGGGTCGGGCTTATTCAGGCTCGGCTCAAATAGGCTAGAACCCGAACAGGCCCGACTTTTTGAAAAGCCCAAATAGTCAAGCCCAGAAAGAATTCCTTCAAGCTTCGGGCAGCTCGAATACCCGAATTTAATTTTTAAAATTATTTTTAATTATTCTTTACTTTGAAATTAATTATTTTATTTTATAAAAAATATAAAATATTTTTTTAATACTTAAACGATGTCTAGGACTCAAATATATGGTATTTGAGTATAAAATGATCTAAAAATTAAAGAATTAATTAATATTTATTATATTTTTAAAAAATATATTTTTTATTCAGGTATTCAGGCCAAGCCCAAACCCGATCGAGCTTGGCCCAAACATAAAAAAACATCTTTTTTTCTAAGCCTGGCCCTAAAATTTTTCGATTCAATTCGGGCTAGTCCGTCGAATTTGGCCCGAATTACCGACTCTAGGTCCAGGTTGAGAAGACCTGAAAATGATGGTCCTAATCGACGAGGCGCAGAGATGACGGTGAAAGCAGGAATAGGTAGGGATGGATTCTACTTTGATGTGATCTACACTGTTTAAATTTAAAATTTTATTTTATATTTATTAAATATATTAAATATATTCAATTTTTAAAAATTATAAAATTTTTAATATTAAATTAGACTATCCAAATAATTTGCATTGCAGAAATTAATGATAAAGTATATTTATTAAAAAATATAATTTTTATAAATTTTATTTTAAAAATATAAATTAAAAATTTTTAAATTTAGATGATTTATATCTCATCACCAAAGACCAAACCGAGTAGAAAGTGGATGAATAAAGTGTGGCATAAATTTCTTTTATCAAAACGTCTCCATATTTGTTGAGAAAATTTGGGCCACACCCCATTATCTTTTTGTTTCATGTTCCTTTCACTTTTCTTTTCTTGTCCAAATAAAGGAAAATGTGTTTTCCCCTTCGTTTCTTTTCTAGGTTTTTTCCCATCTTATCTCTATCTGAACATAGCATTAGGGATGAATGATTAATTTGTTGCTTCACCCAATTCAGTAGGTTTAGATTATGATTGATCCATATGATTAACCACCTAATAAAAACTTAAGGTACTAATTCTATCATCATAAGCCCAATGCTGCATTCAGAAGACAGTTTTAGGTAAATTTTGAATCATCACTAAGATAAATAGTATTAATCAAATGAAAAAGGGAAGAATATGCGAGGTTTTAGAGAAATGGAATAGTTAGTCTTAAGATTTCTTATTGAACCAGTAGTCACTTTTAACTTAATTGTTTTTTTTTTTTGGTTCTTTCTTACATTACATCCTCATCAATAGTTTTGGTCATTATTTCTTTAGCTTAGTTTTAATGCCCCTTTGAATTGGACTTGAACAAATGAGATGATAGGCAATCATAATTTTTATAAGTGACATTAATTAAAAGTAATGTTGATAAATCATGATTTTTATTTAGATAGTTCTTTTAAGTGATTGTGAGAATTGTTAGTTTTGTTTAAAGTGTATTTATCAAAAATTCAAAATCATGTTTAGATGTATGATTACCTAAAAGTGTGTAGTTTTTATAAAGTTATTGTTTAATTTTCTATAATTATTATCAAATATAATTTAATAAAGACCCAATCGTGATTTTTTAAATGCAAAAGCATGCACCTCCTTGTAGCTTTATTCAAGATGCGGCAAATAATCTAAATCACGATTAATTGGGGTTTAAAAAAAAAAAAACCAACACATTGCAAATGGGCTTCATAATTAATCACTTAGATTATATGTTGTTTTATGTAATACCTTGTGGTAATGACGTCTCATATTCTCGTCAATTCTCTTCCACTATGCTATGTATGTGACACATTAACACTTGCGTGAACACATATTTTGAGTGAGCATATATATTACTTTTACTTATTTACTCTTCAATGTTTCTGCAAAGGCGAATTATCCACATAAGAAATTAAAGGTGAGCGAACCAAAACATCGAGAATTAAAGTCACTTTTCTGTTAAAATATTGAAATATCACTGTTGTGATTGTAATGGACCTAATGGTTCATATTTCTCATGAATTAAAGTCACGCTTTGGCACCTAGGTATGTGGGTTATGTTTAATTGATCACTTTATTTTATATATATATATATATATATATATACTTTTACACATTCCTTCATTTAAAGATATTGGACGCTTAAAAAAAAAAGTTTATAAATATTTTTGCCTTTTTAGGCTTAATGGCTTTAAACATATCGAGTTAAATATATCAAAATTAATATAGAATATAATATAATGTATTACTTTGTTATATATATATAATATTATAGAATATATAATTTGTTAAACGTGTGGGTTTGATTGGCTTCGAGCTAAACTTTAATTAAAAAAGTCTGACTTGTTTTTTATATAAATAATCCCGTAAGCCTTGTCTCTTTGGTGTAAATACAAACATGATCTCCCTTTCGTCTTCCTTTATTTCTCTTCTTTTAAGGTATCCTTCCATCTACCAAATGCCGAGAAAATCAATCTTTCTCTTTAATAATGTTGATGTGAAAGTGAAGCGCCTGGGCCCCTCGGCTCGGAAATTTACAAACATCTTCACCAGAAGTCCAAAAGAACCTACATAACCAGGCACCTTATTGTATCGATCATCCAACAAAGATACAACCCCCCCCCCCCCCCACACCTTTTCTCTCTCCCTCTCAGAAGAAAATCACAGAAATAAGCCCGGCAACTCAAATTTCAGACTATACGCATCCAACGTACAAATTAAAGATCACCTTCTGAGAAGAGACAGCAAACTGTTCCAGGTTCAGAAATCTCTCATACCCACTTTATTCATTTTTTTTTCCTTTTGTTTTTGAAGAAATACAGTGACCTAGTTTTACTGGGTTTTATGTGATTTTTTCCCCCTTGTTTCTCTTTTTCTCTTTATTTCATGATCCATATTTCTATTCTATAGAGTTTACTATGGGACTGGAAATACTTAAAATTACTGTTAGGGGTTTCTCCGTATCTGTATGTTGGCTCGACCGCCAAATATTATGTTAATTTTTTATTTTTAATAGAAAAAATTTAATTTGTCTTATTTAAACCGTCAAAATTATATTATGTAATATAATAATTAAGTGTATATGATAATTTTCTTAAAAATAATTTTATGAAATAGTATTATTAAATTTTGTTGATACGTGTATAATTTATATGAATTATTTTATAACTTAAGATGAAGAAAATATTTTTTTTTATCAAAAGGAGAAAATATTATTATTATTATTATTATTTTTAGCCAAATAGGACCAGTCATACAATGGCAGTGATGATAATCTTCTTACTTTTTTTTAAGTTAACTTTTCTATCCATTGGTCTTTTGCTTCCGATCAGTTTGCAGACGAAGTACTGAACAGCTCCCACACGCCTTTATTCTTCATCTTCTTCCTCCATTCTTCATCTTTCATCTTTACTGTCTCATCAGGAAGCTTGATCTGGCCGAGGTAAGCCACACAGAGAGGAACTGAGGAGGATGTGAAGCTGCTGTTGCAAAGAGCCTCTATTCATTAATTCTTGTCGTCTTTGTTCTTTCTTCACTTCTCTTGCTTTCTTCTATTCTTCTTTTTCAGTTTTTTTAAACTCTACTTCTGTCTTCTTCTTCTCAAGTTTCCTTCGTCTCTCCTATCTTTTCCTTTCCTTCTTCACAGTCTTCTTCCTTCTAAAGAACAAAATAACTCTAACAAGGTGTTGTGTGAATTTCTACTCACTTTGTGGTCATTTCGCTTACAGGTGAGGATATCATTGGCCTATTGTGAATCATCAAGACTCATTTATCACATGTTGAGTCACATTATCGACATAAATAAGAAACCAGAAGATCTGAACATGTCCAAGTGTAACATCCACAGAGTCCCATGTTGTCTTCGCAACGTGAGCGAGGAAGCCCATACTCCTCAGTTGATTTCCATATGAACTCTTCACTATGGCCATAAAAATCTAAATCCAATGCAACTCAAACAACGATACTTTCGTTGCTTCTGGGATAGTGTCAAAAATGAGGAAGCCATGAAGGCCTGCAAAGAGTACATTGAAGCTGAAGAAGAAGCTATACGCTATTGTTATGCAGACAAGTTTTCATCCTTCATCACTAAGGAAAATTTCGTGGAAGTGATTCTTTTGGATTCTGTTTTCATCATGGAGCTTTTTCTGATGATGAGAGAACCAGAAGTACATCACAAAGATCATATTATATTGAAACAAACATGGCTGAACAATGGTATCCAGAGGGACTTGTTGCTGCTTGAAAACCAGATTCCATTGTTCATCTTGGATAAGCTGTATACAACTGTGGTTCCAGAAGCTGGAAGGCGTGGCAAGTTTATTGAACAGGCCTATGATTACTTCAGGTGCTGTCATCCTTATGAAAAAGGCAAATCGTATCACGATGAAGCTGAGAAACCAAAGGGGTGCCAGGAGGACTCTTCGCTCACGTTTGGCATAGCATAACATAACTGGAAGAATGAACCAAAGCATTTTACTGACATGATCAGGTCCGTATTTTCATCTTTAAATTGAAAGATATGCTTGCCAAGATGAAAGTGGTAAGAATCGCAATATCATAGTAAAACACAAAAAGCTAACACATTATTGTAAATATATATTTTTTTTTATCTGACCAGGTACTTCCACATCTATGATAATATCACTCAGCATGAAAAAGGGTCGGCTTCTAATGTTTTGAGGACTGCAACGCAGTTGCAAGAAGCAGGAGTGAGCTTCGAGAAAGTCTTTGACAAAAGCTGGCTTGACATAGAGTTCAAGAAACTTCCAATCTTGAGCTGGTTTCTGTTCTTGGGTTGTATACCAAAATTCACATACTTTAAAGCTCGTTTGCAAATTCCACAATTAAAAATAGACAACATAACAGAATGTGTTCTGAGAAACCTCATAGCCTTTGAACAGTGTCACTATGCAGATCAACCTTACATCTGCAACTACGTCTCCTTCACTGACTCTCTCATTCACACCAAAGATGATGTTGATTTGCTGGTTGAAAAAGAAGTTATTATCCACGAACTTGGGAGCGACCAAGAAGTAGCAACTTTGGTGAATAGTCTCTGCAAACATGTTGCGTTGGACAAGACATGCTATAAAGATATTATAAATGATCTGAATGGACATTACCAGAAGTTTTGGAATCGTACAATGGCTTTGTTGAGGTTGGTATACTTCAGAGACACTTGGAGAGCAAGTTCTACCTTGGTTGGAATTTCTGTCCTCGTATTCACAATCTTCAACTTTTGCCAATTTGTCAGACTGGTCTTTGACCTCAATCGAATTAAAAGCAACACTAATTAGTTGTGATGTAGCATAGAAATGACAGTGTCGTGATAAAAAACGTGAGAAGATCTTCATGGAGACTTTTCCTAGGATTTCATGGACGAAGTTAATTAGTTACAGAAGAACCTTGTTTTCGTGTTTTATTCGGAGTTTGATGAATAATATGCAATCTTGGTAATATGTATTATTAGTCTGTATCTGAATGTAGAAGTTTATGTCTTCAATCGTCACTTACGTAAATAAAGCATTAATATTGCTACTAAATTTCTGTGAAATTGCCAATATTGACTTGGACTCTAGCTATCAATTATTATGATAATAGTATCATATCATGATATATATATGTATATATATATATTGGAAAGTGACATTTGACGACCTTGTAGGACCTATATATAATGAAACTTAAAGACCACTGAAACAGAAGCCTGAACGTAACTCACATAACTCCTGTAACAAATCTATTGATAACCTTGGAATGCTCATATTTCTCTTTGTAACCTTCCCAGGCTAATAAACACATGTAATAGCTGAAACTCCTTGTACAGCATTTAAGTCGTTGGTTTCTAAGGTTTAGTATAAATAGCCATCTCATTTCACTTGTAAGACATCAAATTGAGAATAAACAGAGAATTTTGTTCAAAGAATGGTTTCTGTACCAACCACAAATTTTAAAAATATTCAAGAAGCATTAAAATCTTCTGATTTTTTTAGTACTACCTTACAAAAGATGACAACTGTATTATAGAAATATGTTGACTCTTGCTTTTGATATCATGACAAATTTAGAGAAGATTTTCTGTTTAACAGGTTTAAGTTACCCTAAGAGAGTAAAAATATTAAGACTGAAGGTTTAACTTGAATAATTTTTCGTTTTCATACTTCCCTAGGATTTTTGAAATTGTTCATAACTTTCAAAATTCTATCTTTCCAACTTATTGTTCTTTGATTTAATTTCCAAAACTCTCTCTAAGCTTCAAATTTTGGTTTAATCTTGATCTTTCTCCCTTATCCATTTCAAAATTAAGTTTTTGATTAGAAAACCTGGTTTTAATGTGTTTATTCGAATGAGTTTTTGAATCAATTGTGAGCCCTTTGAGTTTCTGATATAAACTTGTGATATAACTAATTTCAGAATCGTCCAGATCTTTCAAAATTCTCCCTTAATTTCGAAAGTGTTGCTTTATTTCCCAAAAGTGAACTAGACCTTCAAAAGTAATCTTAAATTTTGAAATTTCTAACACTTTTCTAAAGGGAGAATGACAGAGAGGTCCAAAAGGATCCTTTAATTTAACTTAGGTCTTAAGTATTAAACTTCAAAAATTTGTAAGTTTGGTTTTCAATTTTATAATTTTGTAGTGATAAATTTATAACTTGTATTCCAAATTTTAATAAAGAAAATAAATTTTTTTATATTTTAGCTATATTAAAATTTAAAAAAAAGTTGCAAATTCACCACAATAAGGTTACAAAATTAAGAGCCAAATTTGTAAATTCCTAAAGTTTGACATTTGGGATCTATATTGAATTAATTGGTTCTTTTGAGATCTCTCTATCATTCTCTCCCTTTCCAAACTTCAAAAGTCATCTCCAGTTTTGATATTCTGGATTTGAATTTAATGACTGTAGTTAATACAGGCATTGAATACATATAGTATCTAAACCGTTGAAATTCAAATCAATTATTCTAAATTCATATCCCATTTAAGATTAATAAATGAGTGATTTTACCTGAACAGTTGATCTGAATTTTAATAGTTCAAATGCTATAAACACTCAGTGTCTACATTAAGTATAGTCATCGAATTCAAATTCTGATATTCTTTTCTCGTATTCATTTACTCTACCTTGTTTGAACTTCGAAACATCATCTGAATTTTGAAATTCTTCCCTGTATTCTGAAATTATTTCGGAACTAGGCCTAAACTTCAAAATTCCTCGTCCATTTCCTAAACTCTATGAATCTTGATATTTTCACTAAATTTCGAAATTAATTCTTTGTTGCCCAATCTATGCTCATGTTCTCATTTCGAAATATCTTGGGCAAATCCTATTTGACTTCCTTGAATCCATATTTCGTAAATTCTGATTTTATCATTCTAATTCTGGTTTTCCGCATTCCTACACCTGAACTCGTGAAGTTTATGAAATTATTTATTTAATCTATATTATTCCAAAATCACGAGAAATTATAAATTTCGAGAAAGTACTTTGTTTTGAAACTTACCCAATATTTATTTCTTTACCCAATATTTATTTCTTATGAATTTTGAAGCTCTTCATACTGTTGAAATTGACTTTAACGGTGATAATGTCAGAATATTAAACGTGTATTTTGCTTTTCAACAATTTTAGCCTTAAACACACAACCCAGTCAGAAAAACTTCTTTCCTCCATCTTGTCTTGCAACTCAATACTATTGGCATTAATTAACATCAAATAAAAGCAATGCAAGTCACAACGGGAAGATTAATAAGTCTACTGAACATATTTATTTTAAGGAACTAATTAAGTTCAGCTAAGAATTGCACTACATGCCTAGCAAAAGAAAATTTTCATGAAAGGGCCAATTGAGTATGAAATAATTTTGCAAAAGAGACCTCTCTTGCAATTATTTTTTTTTTCAGTGAAAAGATGAAATTGCTCTTTTGTGAAATAAATGGACCTTTTTGTTGAAAATAAATGGACTTTAAATCTTATTTACAAAGTTTTTGTTGTAAATTTCATTTGGGTGACTTGTAAATTCTCTCTTTTGACGAGTGTAAACCATGTAAATTGTGTAAAATCAACAGACATTTTATTGTTAATAAATGAATTTTGAATGTTATTTATAGATTTTTTGCTATAAATTCCATATGATCATTAACTTGAAAAGAACGGATGTTTTATTGTTAATAAATTGACTTTTTTTTTTTTAATAGAAATGAAGTAGAGAATCCCAAATAAGGTAGGATTACATCAAAGTAGGATCAAGAGAGGACTTCCTCTCATCATCCACCACCTCAATACAGTAAGGTGAGGGTTTATAAAAAATAATCCAAACACCTAAGTGAACATGGCCACAATAAGCTAATAAGTGGGCACAAAAATTAGTCTACCTAAACCTAAAACTAATAGCTAATAAATGGACTTTTTGAATGTTATTTACAGCTAGAGTTTTTATGGTAAATTGCATATAGGTAACTTGCAAATGTCCCCTCCTTCAGCAAGTGTAAACCATGTAGATTATGTGAAATGAACAGAATTTTTTTTGTTAATAAATGAATTTTAAATGTTATTTAGTGAGTTTCTATTGTAAATATTATCTAGGTAACTTATAAATTTCCTTTCCTTTAACAAGTATAAACCATGTGAACTATGTGAAATCAACAAACATTTTGTTCTTATAAATGAAATTTGAATATTATTTATGGAAATTCTATTGTTAATATCATTTGGGTAACATAAATTTTTTGTTCTTCAACAAGTATAAATCATGTGAACTATGTAAAATCAATAGACATTTTATAGTTGATAAATGGACTTTAAATGATATTTACAGATGTTTTGTTATATATTTCACAGAGAGGAATTTTGTCTCTTCATCGAAAAACTTAATTGCAAAAGAAGCCACTGGGCATGAAAAATTATTTCAGACTCTACTGAGCCTTTAATACAAATATGTTGATTTTGGGTACTAGTAGTACAATTCTCCCATATACCAATATCCTTCTTATTTAAAATTGATTTGACATACTAAAAAGGTAGAGTGTGTCCAAGAAAACAAACCAATCATATTGTGAGACTTCATCATTACTTTTGACCCAATCCAGTTATCCAATCATATTTTGACACATCACTCTTACTTTTTTTCATTTAAATATTTTCTATAACATGTAACGTTGTAAATTTTAAAATCCCAATTAATAAGTTAATGAAAGGTAAATTAGTAAAATTGTATATTAATTAAGTTAAAGAGGATTAGATATGACTAATGTGTTGGATAGGAAAGTGCAACGGAAGATTAAAATTTTAAAGTCCCTATTCTGATATTGATCGAATAAAATCATTTAAGTCAAGGTGGATAGAAGAGTTACATTTTAATTTTTCAAACTTGGTGCATGTTCTCTTCAAGAGTTTAGATTTTAAAAGCTGACAATGTAGATCTGCTCCCTTTACCGATATCTACACGAACAACTCTTTAACTTGAACAGCATGCTAGCGCTCCTAGTGTACGTTCTTCTTTGAACATTAGTTTTCATTTCTATAGGATATTTAGTGGCTCTCAAAGTGTTTTTGTCATTAGAACTTTTTCAACTCTCTCATTCTTCATAAAGGACATCCCTATCTATCTATAATATATGGATCAAGGTTTTCATCTTCCACTTAAAAGCCCACGAAAATTTAATTAAATTTATCTTATAAATTTAATCTATGATATCATATCTAGAATTATAAAATTGACATGATATTCTCTCATATCATGTTAGTTATTAAGTTTAATCTATCATATAAAATTAAATTTAAAACTAACATAACATAACATAACATAACATAACGTAATATAATATATATAACATATAAATATTATATTATATTATATATATATATATGAATATATATACACACACATATATATTTCAAAAAAAAATATATATATATATATATATGTATTATATTTTATATATTTAATTTTATATGTCATACACACAAACACACATAAATATATATATTTTGAAGATATATATGTAACAAATTTTATCTTGACTACTCATATTCCTCTACATGAATATCATTAAACTCAATCATAGCCTTTATAATCGCCCGGTCAAAGGTGACTTTTGACTAGGTCAAAGTTTAATGGTCATCATGTAGGAATCCATGATGATCTCAGGTCAAAGGGCTTAGCGATGAAGTTACATATGAGATAAACTTATGACTTATACCATATAACTTTCTCATAGTGGGTTGGTCCAGTTGTACTCTTTTAAGTGCTTGTGATTTTGATTTGTATCTCTATAATTAATCAAAATCATACTAGTCTTATTTCATCTATGATCTCTCATAGATGACCAACTAAGGACATTTAAGACAATCACTATAGTTTGTCCAATGATACAGTTATCATATTGAATATGCAATTGATATAATAACAAAAAATAAGTTCATTAAATAACAATGTACATAGTACAATGATTGGCCTTAAGACACAATTTCCAACATCCTCCCATTTGCACTAGGTACAATTATTAATTTGTCTAATTCCCATTGTCCTAACATGACGCTCATGCTTTTCCTGTGCAAGAGGTTTTGTAAGAGGATTAACAACATTGTCTTCTCCTACTACTTTGTATATTTTTATATCACCTCTATCATTGATCTCTCTGATAAAGTCGAAACACTTGAGTATATGCTTAGTCTTTTGGTGTGACCTCGGCTCCTTGCTCTATGCAATTGTGATAGAACACATTTGTTACCCACTTTTATTTATCAATTAGGACCCTTTTATTAATGATTTATCACCTTTAAGTGCACACATTGCATTAGATTTGAAATTTTGCCTAAGTTTCTAGGTTCAGTGCACTGGGG